GATTCTCCTGCCTCAGCCTCCTGAGTAGCTGGAACTTCAGGTGTGCACCACTGCGTCCAGCTAATTTTTTAAATTTCTTTGTAGAGACGGGATCTTGCTATGTTGCCCAGGATGGTCTCGAACTCCTGGCTTCAAGTGATTCTCCCACCTCCGCCTTCCAAAGTGCTGGGATTACAGGCATGAGCCACTGCACCTGGCCTCCAAAAATATGATTTTTAAGAAGCTTTCACAACCATACAGTTCTGTCATGTTAAGCTTCTTCCGTGTTGGCAACAATTTGAAAGAGCAAGAGGCAGGTATGGAAAAACCACTGACCTTCCCCATCATGTGAAGGTGCTCGTCAGTGATAGAGTAATCACATGCTTATGGAGTTTTGGTGGTGATCTGAGCCCTATACTGGACATATGCACTGGCTCATGTTCAGGTAAGGTAAAAAATACGGGGCAACTATTCCTTTGTAATACTGGCATTTTTTTTCTCTTTCACCTGCTTCTTAATATCCAGACTCTCTTTAAATAGGATAGAATCTTTTCTGAACCAGCGATGAATCTTAACACATAAATTCTTAGAGCTGTAACATTGACTTCAGTCTACAATAAGGTGTAGACTTTGGTATCAAAGTTGAGGTTTGCCTGAGTAAGATCATGGTAGCAGGATGCAGAGAGATGTGTAGGTTGGTGAATTTTTAGGCAAGGTTTAGGGAGAAGATGCAGAAAAAGGTCCAAAGACAAACACCTGACTGCCCTAATCACTACCTAAGTTTTCCCTTGCAATGCTCAGGGCTCAGGGACTGCCCAGTGACAAGTGACTGCACTCCAAAAGCATTTCAGATGACTGGCACAAGACCTCCGGTTAACACAGAGGGAGAGTGTTTATCCTGCCCCAAAGGTTTAGCCTACGTGTTCCAACAAAAGTATAACATCTCAGGCACAGGCTCAAGTTCTCTGCTCTCCGGCCATCCGTGGGTGATCCCTACCAACAGCTTGGTACCCCAAGATTGCAGCAGTGCTCTACAGAGCAACTCCCTGACCTGCTGAATCATCCCTTTTCCTAAGAGCACATCCCTTGTCCTGACCAAACAATTCTCCGATCAAAAACACCCCAAACACAGTCATTTCTGTCCTCACAAAAGATAATATAATTCAAATGAGGGCGTGGACTGCTAAACTACACCCAAACCCTGATGCACTAAAATTTTCTGTTGAGCAGAGCCACCTTGTGGTGAAATGGAGCGTTTTTAAAAAATTCTCATTTAATTTGTCTCACGTTAACAGTCAAATCCAGGTGGGTCGGTTCTCTTTGTCTGCTTTTTAAAAATGTTCATTTTACTCACTCGAGTTTCCAATTAGCCACTTTAAGACTGTCCACTCCATCTGTTTTCCTTACCAAACATCTATTTATCCAAGGTAAACAAACCTACGGTTTGTCATAATTGGAAAGTTTTATGACTAAAACAGAAGTTGACTCGACAGTGTCTCTACAGAAGGGCAAGAAAATGTCAATGCTAATTGATTGCTAAAGAGAAAGAGCTGCTAGGATATTGACTTTGCAGTCTCTGTGTTCTACAATTCTCACTTCCTTTTCTCCACATTACCACACTCACCCATGCAAATTGCCACATAAAATGTACAGGCACAGAGAAAGCCAAAAGTGCTCCACGGTGGTTTCCAATCCCCCTCCCACCAAATATTTAATACATATAATCTGTGGGAAAAACTAGAAGTACCTTGGGTTGTGGTTTGATTCCTTCTCTTCCTTCAAAGTAGGTAAACATTCACAGTCGGCTAGGGCAGAATAAAAGCAAACTCACTATTAGTCACTGAAATTCTATTTTCTATCCGCAAAACTGGCACAGTAGAGCATTGCATCTCCCTGATCTGTGTGGTTACGTGTGCGAAATGGCCTCACCAGGGAGTCCTAGCAGTTAAAAGATTAATGATGGCAAGGCTCTTGAAATGGAAAAAGCACTAATAACACAGATACGAGACTTCAGCATGCCTCTGCCCCTGTTGGAAAGGGTGCAATTTATCACTGCTTGGCGATTCAGTCCCTGCAGCGCCTCAGTGTTCCAAAAGCTGGAATTCATGTTTCAGGATAGACGCTGGAATAAGATCCTAATGTGTCTGCAGAAAGACTTTAGTCAGACTGCACAGAAGAGAAGAAGTAGGCAGGTGGGACACAACCAGTCTTCTTAAAGTCATCAGAGTTCTCTTGTATTACACCACTGATTATTTGTAAGGGGAAAAAATCTTTAGATGTATCACCTAGGTGTCAAAATGACTCAGCTTTAGTTAGTGAATAGAAATGCCTTTTTCCAGTTTTCTGGTTTTAGTCATGATAGGATTATGATTTTTGTATTGCACAAAATCTCAGGCCCAAAAGGAAATACAACAACATGACATTATGTTGTTATATTTCCAGTCTTTGGGTGGTAAAATGGTTTTTTTTTTCTTTCTACAAATTTTTTTCTGCATTTTCCAAATTTTACTATGTATATTACTTTTACAAACTAAAAAATAATAAAATAAGACTATTTTAAGGACTATCTCAGTGACTAATCCCTATCTTCAAATACCTTACAGAGGCATTCTTCCCTCAATATGAAAAACTGTTAGAAATTATACAAGTTCGTTGAGTGGTTCTAACTTTTTTGAAAGCTTATCTTGATAAGCCTCTGGTAGCAATAATTCTAATAAGAAATCTTTGGGTTGAGAAGTCTATTGTAGAGTGTTGAATCTGACAGACCCCAGGGTATATTCTTAAGATAAATGTTAAAAATGCAAATAATATGGTAAAATAAATAGTGGATTTTATTAATTTAATCTAAGCATTCAAAATAATTTATTAAAGAAAAAACAGCTGCCATCATTTTAAAATCCAATTATTGATTTAACGGAAAGTAAGGAACATATACCACCGTTACTGCCTGATATCAAGTAGAGATTAAGTTTTAAGGGAGTACTTATATTACCATTTATATAAGTGATGTCCAGTGAAACTTTCTATATTGATGGAAATGTTCTAGATTCACACTGTCCAATATAGTAGCCATCGGCTCTTAAGCACTCAAAATATGACTACAAAAACTAAATTTTTAATTTTAATAGCTACATTTGGCTAGTATCTATTGTACTGGACAGTACAGATCTATGTAAACTACATTTGATAAAGTTTTTTTTTATTTTGAGACAGAGTCTCACTGTGTTGCCCAGGCTAGAGTGCCAAGGCGTCATCCTAGCTCACAGCAACCTCAAACTCCTGGGCTCAAGCGATCCTACTGCCTCAGCCTCCCGAGTAGCTGGGACTACAGGCATGCACCACCATGCCCGGCTAATTTTTTCTATATATTTTTAGTTGTCCAATTAATTTCTTTCTATTTTTAGTAGAGACGGGGTCTCGCTCTTGCTCAGGCTGGTTTCGAACTCCTGAGCTCAAACAATCCGCCCGCCTCGGCCTCCCAGAGAGCTAGGATTACAGGCGTGAGCCACCGCGCCCGGCCTACATTTGATAAAGTTTTATATCCATATACAGTTTAAAATTATAGATCTCTAAATTCTATAATATATAAAGTGCTGCCAGAAGCTAACTTTTTCCGGATAATTTGGTTTCAGAGATTTCCTTGCTTGAAAAAAAGACCATTTTCTGCTGGAAAAAGACCATTTCAACAACTTGTACGGAAATAAAAGCAAGTGGCAACAACTGATGCAATAATTCAAGTGAATATTTAAGGACTGTCAGACCCAAGTTTATTATCTCCATGCACCAGATCTAACGTGGGACTGGGCTCTGTCACATTCCAAGATTTACTGAGTTATTTATAAAGCTGTTGCAGCCTTCTGTTACTAGAGAGGAATGGAACAACAAGTTTAGGTAACTACATACCATTTCTACTCATGCTGTTCATCCATTTATCAAGCTCTTCCATTTCTATTTCCATAACAGAGGGCGTGTCTTCTTCAAAAATGGGGCTAGCAATAGGGAGCAAAAAGCTTATTGAAAAAAATGTGTAATGTGCCCAATTTCAAGGAACTCGATTCATTGTCTTATGCACTGTCTTAGCCTGGGGGTTTGCACTATTCCGGAGTATCAAACTCTAACAGGAAGAAGGCTGACACGAAGACAAAATCCACATCTATCACGGCCCCAAAGTGGAGGGCCTAGCCAGTGGGTTAAAAGGGGAACCCAGGGGACCGACGACTCCCCTGAGGGTGCAAAGTCAAGCCTGCAAGGCTTCTACTGTGAGGCTCCTCCGGGCGTTGCCACATTGAGTGTTTTAGCCTTGCTTAATTTCACTTCCCTTTCCTTGGGGTTTTTGATCAGTGCCGCACCGTCAACAGGCTACTTTTATCACCTCTCCCTTCAAGTCCCAGGCTTTTCTCTCTTGGATAAGCGGAGCCGTTGGCTTACAGAAATCCACTGTCCTCTCCGGCCGGAGCTCAGAGCCCGCAGTTGGGGGACAGAAGCTCCCGGCGGCCACTGAGGATGCGGCTGGGGGAGGAGGGGCCACCCGCCCTGAACAGCAGCGCGGGCGGTACTCCGGGCAGAGGAAACCAGCGAAGTTTCTAAACTAGCTGGGCTGCCGCGAGGGTGGTGGGGGGTTGCATCATCCCCAGCTTCCACGCTTCTAGGTGGAATCTTGCTTCTGTCTGTCTCTGTTTCTGCCCCTGTCTCTCTCTCCATCCCTCCCTCCCTGCCCGCCCCGGTGGTTCTGGCTGCGGGAACTTCACGCTTCTACCAAGGCTCTCCTCCCGGAATACCAGCTCAAGGATCTTCCCTGGTGGTAACATTTTTAATCAGAATAAATGAACCGATGTCCTTGAGATACACCCAGGGTCAGAATATTTAACTACTATGCACTTGGAACTGGTAGCAGTCAGAAGATTCCTTTCAGGACAGAGGACGCGAAAGAAAGCAGATCCCACGCTCTCCTGCGCCCATATCGCGCGCTGGGTGGGGTTTGGGGACTGGGCGCGCCCTCCCTTGGGCCGCTAGGACCGTCTCCCCAGCAGGAAGGCGGCAGAGCCCCGCAGGGTGTCCAAACAAGAGCGCCTGAGGAAGGCAGAGGGCTCTCTAATCCCCGCCTCACCCTCTTACCCACACCGGAGCTGGACTGGGGGCAGCGGGGAAGACTTACACTTTCAGGTTCTCACTTCCCAGATCATCTAAAAGGGAATACACAGAAAGGTTGTGTTAGCTTGGTTCGTTAGGAACAGCTAATTAACCTCCAAGTCAAACAAGTGCAGACTGCCATGTTGAGGTGGGGTCCTAATTTGTGTGAAATGTTTTCTTTTAGGTGTGGCTGGTCCTCTGAGCGTACTCACTTCAGATCGGATGTTCATCCTTCTTTATTTTTTGTATCCACATCAAGAGGAAAACAGTAATAAGGGAAAGAAAGGCTTGCCCTTCGGCACCCTTCTGTAAAATGTCCCAGTTCAAAAGGTTGCAGCTTCATCTCCTCTGACACCCCGTGCTGAACACCATGACACTCTGCCTTTGTCCTGGATTGGAGGTGGGCTACTCCATCGAGGGTTCCCCTTGGAACTTTCCTTTTACGCATGCTCTTTGAATGGCTGGCTCTCTCACATCCTCAGGGACCCACTGTTTCCTCAGGGAGGCCTCTCTGCTAGCTAAAGCAGGACTCTGCTAGCTAAAGCCTTCCCTACTGTTCCTGGCTCAGCACCTTGCTTTCTGCCGTCATAGTGCTGGTCACAATTCCTCATTGATCAGTTCATCTGTTTGATCCTTTGTTGTCTGTTTCTCCCACTAGACCGTTGGTCCAAAAGGGCAGGGAATGTTTGTCTTATGCATTGTGGTTTCCCTCTAGCTCTGATCCAGCTAGCAATATTTAACACCTACTCAGTATTTATTGAATAAATGAGTAGGTCTCAATCTTGATTGTCCAGCACCGTGGTTAAATTCGTGTCCAATCTTTTAGACTTAGCGTTATCACAATAGTGAAATGTCCAACAAGCTTGCTTTTCGTTGCTGTTGATTGAAATGAGAGCCGTGGTTTACAAAATGGCTCTAACGCAGATCAGACTCCAGATGAACACGTGGCAAGAACTGGAGTCTGATGCCCCAGCCGGAGCCCTGTTTCGTTTGGCAGGATGACCAGCACACCCAGAGAAATGAGGCAATGATGTCAAGTGAGTGGATAGCATTGGCCCACTCTACCTTTTATGATGTGAAGACTACTAGAAAGCAAACCACTTTGTAGAGGTCTACCAAATAAATACACGTTCCTGCTCCTTGGCAATCAGAGGCCTCCTTTTGTTGGGCCTGTAGAAATGCAGGTCCCAGCGTGGGAACACAACCAGCAGGCACCTGGAACTAAGTCTCTGGCAGCAGTGAACTGCCATAATTTCCTGTGGGTTGGCAAGCTTGAATGGCATTGCTAATCCAGGAAAGCTGGGCACAGATGTAAGTTTCATGCCATCGCTGCTTGCCTTCGAGGGGCTGTAGGTTATGTCCTGGCCTCCAGTAGGAATCCAAAGCTTCCTGCAGAGGCCTGAGCCTCAGAAACTCAGATTGGGGAAAGAATTTCTTCATCTTATATTTTATACATATATACATTTTTTAATCTAAAATCTAAAGGCTATTTCCTTAAGGGCTTTTATGATAAATAAAGCCCCTACATAATTGAATGTCCCTACAGGTGACTCATAAAGATCCCCCCATTTTGTCACTCCCTCCCCCTCCCTCTCCCTTTTCCCCTGCTTTATAACTCCCCACTAATTTCTCAGAGAACAAGTGGCTCCACAGCCCCACTGTTGTGGGCATGGATTTATCTTTATAATCTGGGTTCCCCACAGGCCTCGTGGTGAGCAAAAGCTAGCCTGCATGCAGATGATGGAAAAGTTTAAAAACCCATTACAAAAGTGCTTCAGATGCACCAAATGTGAAGCCCCTGTAATCAGTATTAAAACAGAGCAAAAAGCCTTCTGTGGCCTCATCTTCCCTGCTCCATGGCCATTACCCCCGCCCCGGCCGCCATGGCAACAGGAAAACATCTGGGAGAGCACAGACGAGCAGAGCACTAAACGAGAAGGGAGACCAATTACTTGTCCTCAGCAATCAGGCCCTACCCGCTCCACTCCACCTGGCCTCTGTCTCTTTATTAATAGCCACCTACTCTTTGCAACCAGGAGGCAAATGCAGCTCTTATACCGCATCCCCACCTCCCGTTCCATTTTCCCTCCTGCAATCCTTCCATTTCGTCTCCTCCTACCCACTTTGTCCTCCTCGTTCAGTTCCTACATTACACCCACTTAGCCTGATGATATCCCACTCCCAGATCCTGTCCTCTGCGCGTTTGATGGTGGGATTGTCCGAGTGGGGAATACGGGAGGGCAGGAGCAGCAGGAGCCTCTGGCTTCCTTATCTTGTTTGCCTGCTGAGCAGTGAGCAAGAGAGAGCATCTCTTTCCAGGAGATTTACTGAGCAAGCCCGGCATCAGGCAGCCACAGCCTGTTTAAAGTGGTGGTTTACTGCCAGCTGTTTTCCCTGCACCTCTTTCAGAGAGATCCAGCCCATCAAGACACTGCAAATTTAATGCCTGGAGGTCTAGGAAGAATGATAGCTGAACATCAAGTTACTACACAATGTTTTCTTTTTCCTGGACACGAAATAGACAGGCCCAAAGAAAAAGAGTCATTTCCGATCAGATGAAGTGTTCTTTTCGGAAAGTGTTGGCCAAGTCCGCCCCAGCTGTCGAATTTACAGACTTTACTTCCTGGTTTAGAATAATCTATCGGGCTCTATCCACGTGGCAAAAGAAACAGTACATCTATTCCTAACGTTCTGAGGGACCATGGTGTGTGTGGGGATCCATGCCCTCCCACAAAGCATCCCTTCAAGAACTTTCTAAGCAAAATGCTGGTCTGACCCACTATGACAGTTTCATTTTTCCAGCAAAAAAAATCATATTTAAATCAAATTTTTGTAATTTAAATATTCTGCTTTTATTAACTTTTAGTATTTAGTTTGTCTGAAGAGATATTCATCTTTTAAGCAGTTAATGATTGTGTCTCTGTTAAAGGAGTGGCTGGTAAAAGAATAAATTCAAACAAAGCTCTTTGTATCAAAAAATTTAGTGATAAGTAATTGTTTTGAAATTGTAAGTTTTCTATGTTGTGTTATCTTAAAGCAAGGCATATTTAAACTAAAAACAACGTGCCAGTCTGTAGCAAGGATAATGTGCAAATTTTTTTTTGCCTCTGAGAGTAGGTGATCTTTAAAAAACATTCTAACATTCTTTTATTAACTCATTTATTCAAGAAACATGTGTTGGGCAGGAGTCGTGTTAGATAAAGGGACATAAATAATAAGCTAGCACACACTTAGCTCTTACGATATGCCAGGTACTATTGTTTCTAAGTGCAATATTTATATAAGTTTACTTAATTCTCACAACTCTATAAGGTAGGTATTAAATTTGCCCATTTTACAGATGAGGAAACTAAATCAGAGAGGTCATAGAACTAGGAAGTGCCAAAGCCAGCCAAGCACAGTATGTGTTTCCAGAGTCAGCACTCTCAACTTCAATATCACCCTGTCAAATGAGCTAAATAAGAGTTCTTGGTTCTCTTAAGAGAAGGTAACCTAGTAGGAAAGAAAGACCAAAAAAAAAAAAAAAAAAAGACAGGTCACCAATTTATGATGTAAATACCATGAACCATAAGTTTGAACAAAGTGCTCTGAGAGCACAGAAGAGGTAATGATTAGTTTTGCCTGGGGAGGGATCACTCAAGGTTTTGTAAAAACTTTAGAACTGGGCCCTGAAGAATGGGGTGGCAGTTTGCCAAGCAGACAAAAAGGAAAATCCAGAAAGAAGGAATAGTGTCAACCAGGTATGGAGGTGTCCTGAGAGTCAAGCCATGCTCTGGGAACGGCAAATACTTCAAGGATAGTGTAGAATGCACAGGCCATGTCTGAGGATGAGGCCAGATCTCGTTTGTAAATGGCTTTTGAACTATGACACTCTCACAGTACGTCCAATGAAAAATCACTTTCTGTATTTAGAGCCTAAGAGCATGAGCATTTGTGTGGACAGCCCCCATCCCTGGACTCCATCAGGTAAGACAGGCTGTGGGGGCTATGGTTTAGAGCAGGAAATTCGCACTTTCCTTGAGTTTAAAAAAAATGAAATCCAGGCAGCTCTGTTTGCTTTTGCTTTTTCTTAACCTTACAAATAAGTCCCTATATGACCACTGTTTTTAGGTCACCCTGAAATCCCAAGCAGTGGGGAAATAAGTGTATTTCCTATTTCCTTGGAATCTATTACATGAGCCCCTGCCATGAAAGGAGATACACCCCAGGGCTTCTTCCCCAGCTCACATTTGCCTGTCTGCTGGCTACGACAGGTTCCCCTGGTGCAGGGACAGTGAATGGGACGTGTGGACCAAGAGCATGACCTCAAAGCCAGAGGTGCTCTGCTTAGTGGGTATGAGGGACATAGAGTGTGTTGTGTATATGTGTATGAATAGATATATTATTAGAGAAGTTCTTATCCCTTTGGTAATTTTTAGAACGACTTTAAAGGCTTCAACTTAAAAATCTAATCAGAGTGATTTTTTTTTACCAACACAAGTACCCAAGTTTGCTTTAGATCTAGAACTACCCTGAAACCTAGTATGTGATCTTCTAGAATCGAAACAGAATACTCTCAGAGTGTCTCTGACCTAGGGAGTTTTCTATCAAATTGGTTTTCAGATTGATGTTAGTAATCCGTAGGCAGTTGTTGGATTTCATGATAAAAGCATAGCTTCAATGAGAGCAAGAGCAATGCTTCACCTAGGCCTCTTCAAGGTCAAATTGGGACATGGGCTAGGGAAGAAAATAAAATCTGTGACAGAAATATAGATGAAAGAATCCTTTTCTGTGGTGATGGCCCCAAGGTCTGCCACCTACCTGTCCCTAACCCTACTCTGAACCACTGCTCTACCAGCCCTACCCTTTCCTCCTTCAATGGGAAATGCTACACTGGCTTGTTGGCCAAGGTTATGCAGGGCCTTCATCTGATAAGGTACAAAGATGGCAGCAGTATACGGACACACCTTGGAGAGATGGCAGGTTAGGTTCCAGATCACCGCAGCAAAGTGAATATTGAAACAAAGCAAGTCACACCAATTTGCTGGTTTCCCAGTACATATAAAAGTTACGTTTACATTATACTATAGTCTACTCAGTGTGCAACATTACATCTAAAATATGTACATACCTTAATTAAAATACTTTATTGCTAACAAATGCTAATAATCACCTGACCCTTCAGCAAGATGTAATCTTTTTGCTGGTGGAGGGTCTTGTGTTGGTGTTGATGGCTGCTGGCTGATCAAGAAGGTGGTTGCTGAAAGTTGGAGTGGCTGTGGGAGTTTCTTAAAATAAGACAACAATGAAATTTGCTACATCTGTTGACTCTTCCTTTCACGAAAGATTTCTCTGTAGCATGAGATGCTGTTGGATGCTCTTTTGAAATTGGAATCAGTCCGCTCAAATTCTGCTGCTGCTTTATTAACTAAGTTTATATAATATCCTAAATCTTTTGCTGTCATTTTAACAATGTTCACAGCATCTTCACCAGGAGTAGATTCCATCTCAAGAAACCACTTTTTTTGCTCCTCCATAAGAAGCAACACCTCAGCCGTTCAAGTTTTATCATGAAATTCCAGCAATTCAGTCACCTCTTCAGGCTCCACATCTAATTCTAGTGCTCTTGCTATTTCCACCACATCTGCAGTGACTTCCTCCACTGAAGTCTCGAACACCTCAAAGTCATCCACGAGGGTTCGAATCAACTTCTTCCAAACTTCTGTTAACATTGATATTTTGACCTTCTCCCATGAATCCCAAATGTTCTTAATGGCATCTGGAATGGTGAATCCTTCCAGAAGGTTTTCAATTGACTTTGCCCAGATACATCTGAGGAATCGCTCTCTGTGGCAGCTACAGCCTTACAAAATGTATTTCTTAAATAATAAGACTTGAAAGTCAAAATTACTCCTTGATCCATGGGTTGCAGAATGGATTTGTGTTAGCAGGCATGAAAACAACATTTATCCCCTTGTACATCTCCATCAGAGCTCTTGGTTGACCAGGTGCATTGTCAATGAGCAGTAACATTTTGAAAGGAATATTTTTTTACTGAGCAGTAGGTCTCAATGATGGGCTTAAAAATATCCAGTAAACTATGCTATAAACAGATGTGCTGTTATCCAGGCTCTGTTGTTCCATTTACAGAGCACAGGGAGAGTAGATTTAGCATAATCCTTCAGGACCCTAGAATTTTTAGAATGCTAAGTGAGCATTGGCTTTAACTTAAAGTCACCAGCTACATTAGCCCCTAACACGGGAGTCAGCCTGTCTTTTGAAGCTTTGAAGCTAGGCATCGACTTCTCCTCTCTAGCTAGGAAAGGCATCTTTTTCCAACAGAAGGCTGTTTTGTTTACATTAAAAATATGCTGTTTAGTGCAGCCACCTTCATCAATTACCTCAGCTAGATCTTCTGGATAACTTGCTGCAACTTCTATATCAGTATTTATTGCTTCACCATATACTTTTATGTTATGAAGATGGATTTTTTTCCTTAAACCTCATGAACCAACCTCTGCTAGCTTCCAACTTTTCTTCTGCAGCTTCCTCACCTCTCTCAGCCTTTAGAGAATTGAGAAGACTTAGGTCTTGCTCTGGATTAGGCTTTGGCTTAAGGGAATGTTGTGGCTGGTTCGATCTCCTATCCAGACTAAAACTTTCTTCACATCAGCAATAACATCGTTTTGCTTCTTATCATTTGTGGGTTCACTGGACTAGCACTTTTCATTTCCTTCAAGAACTTTTCCCCTGAATTCACAACTTGGCTGACTGTTTGGGGCAAGAGGCCTAGCTTTCATCCTATCTTGGCTTTCAACACGCCTTTGTTGTTGAGCTTAATCATTTCTAGCTTTTAATTTAAAGTGAGAGATGTGTGACTCTTCCTTTCACTTGAACACTTAGAAGCCATTGTGGGGTTATTAATTGGCCTGATTTCAATAATGTTGTGTCTCAGGACTAAGAGAGGCCTGAGGAGAGGGAGAGAGATGGAAGAAGGGCTGGTTGGTGGGGTTTGTGGTGCTCCAAAACAATTATAAGAGTGACACCAAAGATCACTGATCACAGATCATGATAATAGATATAATAATAAGGAAAAAGTTTGTGAGACTTATTGTGAGAATTACCAAATTCTCAACACAGAGATATGAAGTGAGCACATGCTGTTGGAAAAATGGCACCAATAGATTTGGTCAACACAGGGTTGCCACAAAACTTCAATTTGTGTAAAACACAGTATCTGCTAAGCACAAAAAGGAAAATGAGATATGCCTATATTTTAAATTTCAATGTAGGCTAAAAACATTCTTTTTTTAAAAAAAATAAAGGAATATGGCATTATTAGCCTCTGGAAAGCTTTATTAAAATATATCATTTATGACTTACTATATTTTATATAGCCCTTGTTGCTTAACTTTAAAATATCTCAGCTCCTTCTCCAATCCCATCCCCAATCATAAGCAGAATAATACTTACATGTCTGTAAAGCACTCTGAGATCCTTGGCTAGAAGGCTCTGTGTAGAAGCAAAAAGTATTTTGTGTTATTGATTGTTCATTAACACACAAAGCAATTGTCTGCAAATGGGAATATATCAAATATTTACCTTTTTTAGTTTTTTTTCTTTTATAGTATGCTGCAAAGAGTACCATTGATAAAATTAGGAGGACCAATAAAATTGATGGGATCACAACCATTAATATAAGATCTAACTGAATCGCATCCTCAGCGATGTTGGTGGAATTCGTATCTGCAGTTAATGCTTCTGTGGTCACTGCAGCAATCGTGCTTGAAATTGTCTCTCCATCTTGTCTTTCAACTGGCCAGGGTGTGTCTCCTGAGAGTTCTTCTGATAACTCAGAATCACCTGTGGGAATAGGCACAAAATTGAGATTGCCATGGAGACAAAGCTAGTATGTTATGTTTCTAATGATTTTTAAATGTATTCCAGATAGCTTCAGTGATAAACGTGATCCACTCACTATATTTGGCCCTCCAATTCCATGCATACAGAGCATTGATTTAACAAATGCAGCTCAAGCTGGGAGTATGCTGAACGTGGAATCAGAGCCCAGAGACAAACCTTGCACAAAGAAAGGCAGTTTAGCCTTGACCAGACATTTTCATGCTTAAGTAAAAGACATCAGGAAGCGTTTTCGTGTCAATGAGATCTCCCAATCCAAGTTATGTGGTATTCCAGGACATCTCCTATAGGGTATCATAATATCTTAATAAAATTTCTGAATAAATTTACATTTGCATTTACTGAAACTTAAGTACATATCAAATAACACTTTTAGATGTAAAGAAATGCACTCTGTGTCCTAATATTTTTTTAAAAAGTTTACCTATCAATGGAAAAGAATTCTTTGAAATCAGAGTGACTACTCAGATTTCAGTGTAAAGTCTCACATTCTACACGGGAACTGAGTCTGCCTCTAAGATTACCTGACAGGAACCCTCCTGGATTCTAAATGAAAATGCAATACATATCTCATTGATAAAGTGAAATTCTCAAGGGGAAGCTCTCTTAGAGACTAAGGAAACTGCAATGTTTAAATTTATTTATTACAATGCATCTGTAGAGCTTTTCCTATTATCAAGCTATAAATAACTTTATTCTATTTGAACCTGAGAGTATGTTGAAAAACCATCCCGTGGCTCCCCATGGGATGGAAAAGGATTGCTGATGTGATGACAATTCACCTGGCTGCGTGGTGGTCACGGTAAGGTAAGCCGAAGTTTTTTGTCCTATTATGGTACAATATTGCCTACCTCTCAGAGAGGGCCCACTGAGGAAAATATATAAGCTTAGGCTACAGAAAACATATCAAATGAGATAATTTATATGAAAGTTCCTTCTAAGACGAAAGGTGCTATGCAAATAGCTAATTTGGCTGCTTTTAATCATACTCTGCAGTACAGTTTAGACAATGACTCCATAGAATGACCAAACAGAACATAACAGAGCCAACTCAATAGTTTATCCATGTTCATAAATTGCATGACAATGGAGTCCTCTGATTTGGGTTGAAACAATAAAAATGTTTGGCCATTGTTATGAACTGAATGTTTGTGTTTCCCTCAAATTCATATGTTGAAGGCCTTATCCCCAATGCGATGGTCTTAGGAGGTGGAGTCTGTGGGAGATAATCAGGTTTAGATGAGATCATAAGAATGGAACCCCAAGATGGAATTAGTGCCCTTATAAGAAGAGAAAGAGACCAGAGTGTGCGCGCATGCGCTCTCTCTCTCTCTCTCTCTCTCTCTGCCATGTGTGGATACAGTGAGAAGACACCAAATCTTCCAGCACCTTCGTCTTGAACAGTCCACCTGATCTTAAACTTCACAGCCAACAGAAATAAATATCTGTTGATTAAACCACCCAGTCTGTGGTGTTTTGTAACGGCAGCTGAGCTAAGACAGTCCCAATATAATTTTTTTGATTATATAGATACACATTTCAGTGTCCCACACCAGGGAATCCATTTGATAATCACTTTGGTAAATGCTACCCCAAACCATCAGAATCAATTACAAACTGCAGAGTAAACTCACTGATGTTCCTCTCACATATATGCCAGAAGCAGGATAAAAACAATCTAGCAATTTTTTAAGAGAAGAGCCTTTCAGATGGCTGACTAGATGCATCTGGCACTTGCCTCTTCCACAAAGAACCAAAAAAGCAAGTAGAAAATCACACTCTGGGCCAGACAAGGTGGCTCACGCCTGTAATCCTAGCACTCTGGGAGGCGGAAGCGGGAAGATTGCTTGAGGTCAGGACTGTGAGACCAGCCTGAGCAAAAGCGAGACTCCATCTCTACAAAAAATAGAAAAATTAGCCGGGTGTGGTGGCATGCACCTGTAGTCCCAGCTACTCGGGAGGCTGAGGCAGGAGGATCGCTTGAGCCCAGGAGTTTGAGGTTACAGTGAGCTATGATGACACCACTGCACTCTCGCCGGGGTGACAATGTGAGACTCTGTCTTGAAAAAAGAAAATCACACTCTGAATAGATTATCTGGGAGAGAACACTGGAATTCAACAGAAAAGTGACAGGGAACACCTCAGGCAAGGAGACAGAGGGAAGCGAGGCAGCCTGCTCGGCCAGGATCCACTGGGAACATGGAAAGACTCCCCAGTGCAGGGAAATGGTGAGAGACTCATGGTCACATCCCTAACATGGACTCCTGCATCCTAGCCCAGGGAGAGCCCATGAACCCTCACAGGCCTGAGACTAACAAAGCGAGCTGCCTGGAGACCCGGCAATGGCATTGCTCTGGAGAGGGAGCTCATGCTGGGTCCCACAAATCCGCAAGCCCTAAGCAGCTACAGCATGGTGCCATTTTGAGAGCCCAGCCCCCACCAGACTGCATCCTGCCCTGGGGCCCTACAGCCGGTCCATCTCCACACCCCTGAAATCCTCTACCCACAGCCACCTCCAGTGCTTTCTTTGTGAAAGAGGCAAGTGCCAGATGCATCTAGTCAGCCATCGGAAAGCCCCTCCTCCAGACTCCCCCTTTTATTTCTTTTGCTTACTTCTACTTCTCTGCAGCTGTTGCTATCAATACTATTTCAGAGGCCGGGCGCAGCGGCTCACACCTGTAATCCTAACACTCTGGGAAGCTGAGGCGGGAGGATCGCTTGAGGTCAGGAGTTGAAGACTAACCTGAACAAGAGTGAGACCCTGTCCCTACTAAAAATAGAAAAAATTAGCCAGGCAACTAAAAAAATTAGAAAAAATTAGCTGGGCATGGTGGCACATGTCTGTAGTCCCAGCTACTTGGGAGGCTGAGGCAGGAGGATCGCTTGAACCCAGGAATTTGAGGTTGCTGTGAGTTAGGCTGATGCCACAGCACTCTAGCCCGGGTGACAGAGTGAGACTCTGCCTCAAAAATAAAAAACACAAAATGCTATTTCAGGCCAACCTTTTTTGAGAATTTACTAAGAACCAATCCCTGTGCTCTGCCTTTTACCTGGACTGTCTCATCTTGTCCTCACCATTTTTTCAGAAAGACACTGGGGCAAAGAGGTTGCACGACTTGCCCAAGATCACAGAGCTAATGCGTAGGGGTGAAGGTGTGACCCCAGGAGGGCTGACGGCAGAACCAGAGTTTATAACCTCAGACTGTATCTTCTTTCCAATCAGGGAGGAATGTAATACTTGTAAATCATGAAGTTTGGCCAGAAAGTGGTGAGCAAGACAGGGAACCTCATGTTCTTGTGCTTTCTGGCACAAGAGGGAAGGGAGGAAGTGGTTCCCAGAAACCTCAGCCTTTGCAGGGCTCTTGCTAAGGCTCTTCAGCCCAGATGTACTGCGAGCAAATCTGCCCAGAACGACAGGACCTTTTCGGCGCCTCTCTAAGGAAGGTGAATCAAGTTCCCAGTAGAACACTTAGCGCTCTGAGTCATCACTTGACCCATGGCCCTTGGAGAAGAGAAAATAGGAAAGGAAATACACTAGCAAGAATGGTGAGGGCATTTCGACAATCGGGAATGAAAGTGAAACAGGAAGAAGGGGACCAGATAGTCCTGGGTTGTGCATGTTTATTTTTCAGCACGATAAAATGCTGGTGACAGGTGGCCCTCGGTGGCATGGTAGAGTTAAAGAGGCCAGAAGTTCTCTCCACAGTACTCTCCTCGTACACATCCTCACCTATGTTTTCTACCTTAAGCATCATTTGCTCTCTCAGATTCTCTAGTGGTTATTTAAATAAATGAGAATCAAGGGTTCGTTCATTCTCTCTCTCTCTCTCTCTCTCTCTCTCTCCTCTCTGTTTTATTTGTCTTTACCCCGCAAGCTTCCATCTCCACAGACTCCTGTGATGACCTCTCTCATAGCCCTCCCTGCCCCAACCAACTCTAACTCCACCACAGCCTCAAAATAATGAATAACAGTAACTAGCACTCATTGAATGCTTCCTTTGTGCTAGGTCCTGGGACAAACACGAGCTCACGTGCTACCTAATTTGATCTTCACGACAACTTTATTGTCCACATTTTATGGATGAACAAACTGAGTCTCAAATGTCTTGGGGTGCAATCCTGTCATCTGTGTTGTGAAGTTCTACCAATACGTAGAGTTTTGAAGGTGCATTCCCTTAAGCATAGGGGCCAAATGACAGACGAGGGTGTGGTCGCAGCTCTGTCACCTAACAGTTGTGGGGATTTGGACAAATTATTTATCCCTTAATGACTTAATTCTTTAATCTGTACAACTAAGGCGTGATTCCCAAGGTCACATCTCTATGTTGATTCCAAAGCACTCACCATGTTTTTAATTAAAAATTTTAATAGGTAATACATACATGGTACTTAGTTCAGAAACCAAGTTTCACTGCTGCCCTTTCCCTCAGCCACTCGGTTTCCCTCCCCAGAGGTAACCACTGCTTCTGCTGCCCTCCAGAGAAACTCTGCATATACAAATATTAATATAAGTACTGTTTCCTGTTCTCTTTTTTAACCCAAATGGTAGCAAAATTTATATACTCTTCTGCTCCTTGCTTCTTTCACTTAAAATTTCACCCTGAAGATCATTCCATGATTGTATAGAGAGCTGTCTTTCCCCTATTATTTGGATATATTGTAACCTATTCCTATTGATGGAGATTTAGGTTGTTTTTTGTATGTTTCCAAGAATGCTGCAATAATCATCTCTGCTGATCCTTCGGTTTGCACAAGGGCAAGTGCATTCGACAGTGTATCTACAAGTGAGTAGAGCAGGAGAGAGTGTGGGGTGCAGGGTGGAGAGAGACAGCATCGAAGTACCCTGGGCAGTCTGATCTTAGGCAATGCCAGCCCAGTCGTCACACAGTGAGGATGGGCAGAAACTAAGTCGGGAGAGGGCTGGGCATGCACGGAGTCTGGGA